GTTGTCTTCAGGCCAAACTACGTTGAACTAAAAAAGAAATCTCAAGTGTGAACAAACTCCTTTGGGGCACCTACTAAGCGACACATTTAAGCTGCAGCAGGCCTCGGGGTCCTGAAATGAGTGCAACTTAATTTTATGCAGCCACTGCAATGGGACGAGCAACGCAGTCAAATGTTGCACGCAATGTCACGATTTAACAAAATATTTTACGGAAAGTGTCATGAAAGCACACCCTCAAGTTAAAGGAGGCACACGCACGAATTGCTGAACCACTTCAATTTGAAAATCAACAGCACCGCAGTTAAACGCGTCACGCATGCACAGTACGCAGTACACAGGTCGCAGCATTGTCCGTCCTTCAGTCGCCTTACTGGGTGTTTGTCTGTCTGTAGTCGGTCCAACGTCCGCTGCTGTTACTTTGTAATACCTCAAAGTACAATTACACTAAGTGTTGCAAGTTTTGTTCCTACAACATCTCTGCTATCTCCATGGCCACGGCATCTCTTTAGGCATCTCCATATTTTAATGCAATTTCTTCAATGTTTTTCTTGTAGTGCAAAATGAAGGATTAGCGGCACGTACCGCCACACAAAACGGCGCACGGCGTATGTTTATGTGTTTATATTTTGCGCGCTGAAAGTGACGGAAGCTCCCGCGTAATTCTTGCTTAATGTAAGTCTGTATCTGGTTTTCGTTTATGTGGTTGGGCTATTTGAATTAATTCAGCACCGCAGCGTCACTTTCAAAAGCCTTTACGCTGATGACTTTTCACTTGAAATTAATTCGAATCATTTTTCTCGCATGCTGCACACTTTTAGTATGCATAACTGATATGCATGTGCCACATAAATTAAGTGCAATAAAAATAAAATTGCAACCCAACTTAATAAATTTAAAATAAAGTTTATTTTTTGACAGTGTTTTTAATTAGACTTTTATTTATTATTATTATGAGTTTATTTACAGTAACGGCTTGCTTGGAACACATTTCGCATCAAACATGAGGTTATCTGCGATTATTTCTTCTTTTCAGCTACCTACTTCCCAACCGATTAAACTTCCTAATGCACTTTAATCTATGATCTTCAAAAATATATAGAGTACATATAACTCTACTAAATAATCTTTAAACAATAACCACCTATTTCTCTTGACTCAGCTACTCAGCTATTATATGAGATTGAATAAAGAAACTACTATGAGAATAATCCAAAAGCTACACTAAAATTATTTATTTAGAGAATAACATGTTCAGTTCACTGTATGAATTGTTGGCATAATTTGTTTAAATAATACAAACCGCATTTATCAGTATTTCTTTGAGCCGACTACCGCTTCAACATTTTAATTAAAACTAAAATATATAAAAAGATTTTCCAATTTAAATCGGTATCTTTAATCACTGCTAAATGCTATGTACTACACATTCGCCATACAAAAACCGTACTACACACTGAGTGCCTTGTGAAAGACTCATATAATCTCAGTTGTGCTATGGTATCTGTCTTGCCTATCTCGAAGAAACTAAATTCTTTCTGCACACACAGTGAGTGAGAATGGATTCGCAATTGGTAGCCTGAAGAAAAATTTAGTATAATCGATGGTTTTTATATGGAGTGTATTAGTTTCTTCATCTTCGATTTTGTCACAGGTATAAAAATATGCATAATATACGCAGTACTAAATAATCTTAAGGAATAATTATAATATTGCTGCAACATAAATCAAACTTGTAAAAGACATATTCGTCACCTTAGGTGATTATTTGTAAAACTATAGTCGATTATGGAAGCAGCTCTCTCAAATTAACAAGAATATGAAACATATTTACAGCAGGTTTGGAGTATGGGTAGTTACACTCATGCCAATTCAAAAATCAGTAAAATATAAATCTAAAATATAAGCGACAATTTACGGAAGTTGTGATAAGTATGGTATATGCATCCTTTATATAAAAATTTGATTTACAAACATTTAAAAAAATATTCTTATTATGTTGAGGCTAGTTGAGTCAGTGCACCTGAGCACTTTTACTCTCTATTAACTGCGAGGTTTCTTCAAAACCCCTCTTTGCGCCTTGACTGGATTATTGTTTATCACTTCATCAGACTAATCAATAATTGACCTCAGATCTGCATACCTCCCCGAGGAGCCTGTAACCATTCTGAGATTTGATAACGCGGTGTTGGTGTTGTACTTTATTATTATAATTGTTAGAGGATGTGACACTGCGACCATCGGGTCAATTGTGCCTCCTTCTGGGGTCTCTAAGCTCTGTTGCGTCAATGAAAAGTGGAATAGAACTAACTTTACAGAGTTTTATTGCCTCTTCCGTAAGTATATACATTCCCAAGAGCATATTCCGTATGTGCATTAGCGCAGGGCATTTCAACAGCACATGTGTGGCCGACTTCTCATTATCTTCACAGAATCTATAGTTTGCATCTGTAAGTATACCCAGTCTTGTAAGGTGGTATCTTAGTTTACAGTGCCCTGTTAGGATTCCTTTGATGATTCAAAGTTTTTCTTTTGATAGGTTTATACAATCCTGGTACTTCTTAGTGTTATAGGTACCAATAAGTGATTTGGACTATTTTAATTCTGGTATATTATCCTAGTAATCCTTTTTATTCTGATTCTACTGTATTTTTATGAGAGAAAGGAGCGTACTTTGTTCTAGTTCACAAAAAGGTTTCGATCCCAAAATATTCTTCAATAGACACTCTAATTTTTACTTTGAGAACTCTACATAACTTTTGCTGTGAAATTTAAGTGTTTTTAAAATCGAAGTTAACTAAAAAAATATGCTGAATCATTGTTATATATTTATATTACATAAACTCTATATATATACTAAAGAACATATTAGAAAAAGAGAGCAATTTTGTTAATGCATTCATTATGCCATGAATTACAGAAGGTTAAGATGTTTGTATCAATTTAATTTAATTTCGCAAAAGAATGTTATATTTCATGAACTATTATTTATGCCAAAAAGTACCGGGAATCAGTCAATGAAATAGAAAATATAATTATATTATTTATCAAAATATATTCTTAGTAACTAAGTTATTCTATTCACTATTTGTTAAATTTATTTATATTTACTTTTTAACAAAGTATTTATTCCTTTTGAGATAATGTACTTAAATCCATTCTTTGGAATTGATTTTAGTACCGTCCTTCAATTCTTTTTTGATCGCTTTTGACTTGCTTTTATCCACTTCGGCTCAGTCGGAAGACACCATTCTAAACTTTGTTGACTAGTTTGCATACTAAATTCGTAAACCAATATTTCATTATCAGATAAAATACGTTTTATGAATGTGGTGTCGGAATTTACTATAATAAAAATGTCTACAACGACTTTAGCGACTTTTCCTAACATCTTTATATGACTGAGATTTGGCAAAAAATGCAGGTCTTTCAGCACTAGACGATCGGAAACGTATTTCATCATTTAAAACAAAACGAATTGATTTGATTTTTTCAGACTTAAACGAAAATGTTTCGACACCATTTCCTTAACTGCAACGATGTTTAGTTCAGATGAAGATGTTGAAGAAAGTTTACTTCTGCTCAAGTTTCTGTTATCTATGATATATATCTGTGATATGATATCTGTGATGTTATCTGTGATATGTTATCAGTGATAAGTTATCTGTGGCAAAAAAAAATGTCTATATTGTTTGATTAATTAATTATATGAGATATTGTGAAATGTTTTAATGACGGGGTATTCAGTCAAGCATTGGGTGCTAATGGAAGAAGTTAGAATGGTGGCGATGGTGACTTTTACAAATAATACATTTTCAATTTTTACTGTTGTGGACTGTGATATTCGTTTATTCAGCGAAATTCAATATATATATTTGTTTCAAAATTTGAATCTT